AATGCCGGGACAGCAAGATGATGCCTACATTGGCACCTGTTGTGGCCAAACTGGGCAACTCTGGGGCCTCACCAAGTTCTGCAGGGAAATGAACTTATTTGTCCTCAGGCAGAAGCCAGGCTGTGAGGGGAAACCTCCTTTCTCTGCAGGCACCTGTTTGTGTCATGGAACTGTGATCCTTGACTTTGATGCAGTGGATAATGGTAGAGAAAGGGGGTAGGGTGCTGACCTCGGTATAAGAAATTACTACTATGAAATTCTGATCATGTTAAAATGTGTTACCTCACTTGTGGTGCTGGGTCTCCTCATCCTCTCTAAGAAGATGCGATCCATTACTGAACACGAGGTGCCCCTCTTACCCAAGGAATTCATAACAAGACTGTAGGTCCATAGTGGTTCCTAGTTCTTCCCTCCCAGAGTAAAAGCTGCTTGAGACTTTGGAGTTGCTATGAACTGAACCGTAGTTGATAGCTGTTGTTTAAGTTGTTTAAATCTGAAGTCCAAGGAATGTGATGCACTTGTGCAGAGGGATCCAGAAGAGATAGTTTTTAGTTGGTGTTTCAATAGTAGGGGGAGAGAGGATGGGTACCATGGAATACCAAAGTGAAGGACTTAGTGTCATTCAACAAAATTTTCTCTTCTTTTATATCCCAAGTAGCTTCCATTCCCTCACCTTTTCAATCAGAATTATAAATCCAAGCCTTCTGGTAAAGTAGGAATGCTTTAAAACAAAAACAAAACCTTTTTATTACTAAGGTAATCATTTTGAGATGTTAAAATTACTAGTTCTCCCTTATTGTCTTTGGATGTTGAGAAGACCATTTCATAGTACCAAGGATTTCTACCTGGATTACATATTTTGGAGGTAGGCATAGAGGGAGTCCACCCCCTTTCACAAATCACATCACTCAAGAGACAGCTAAAATGAAAAGCATTCCCTCTCCATACCAGAGACAGTGGCCAAAATAAAAATCTGTGAGGCTGGATGTTCCCCAAATCAAGCCAGCCTCCTGGTGCTTGAAGGTTTCATTCACTATTACCTGCACAGGATGTAAAGAAAAGAAAAGTCACAGTAGGCATTCTTTACCAGGGAAATAAGGCAGTATTTGAATCACAAGATATATTTTTTATTATCTGCTACCATGGATTCAGTGATCTGTAGAGCTTTTTCACTCATTAGCTGTCAGGGTATGAAGGACTGACAGCCTGTAAAGATAAAGATATTTATATTTTTGTATAGTTGTTTTCATAGATTTCTCAAAGGCTGAAGTTTTCAACCTAGGAGATGAGATTTGTATTGAGTATAGAAATGATGTTTCCTATCTAGTTTGTAAATAATCATGGTGCACTTGAGGGGTCTCTTGGAAACTCCTGGGGGCAAGAATCACTATTCTGAAAATGTATAGACTGGGATTTAGCTGCTGCATTTTGCCTTTCTTAAATAATTATATTTTGGAATGTAACCCCTGTTCTGTCTTCATTGACAGGATTTGCTTGTGTTGTGAAACACTAACACAAGAGCTTCCAGTGCCTGGGCTGTGCCTAGGTGATGCTGTTTCTTCTACATCCCCTGCCTTCTTTATCCCAAATCCCACTCAGCATATCTTCAAAACTAGGTTGTGAAACCAACTTTGGAATGGTCCTAGCCAGTGAATTATTACCTCCGTGGTTGGTTCCCTTTCTAGTAACTCTGGTAATAAACAGATTGAAAAGGGTGGGAAATTTTCTTCTGCAAATTGCAGTGGGAACAAATTCTTTGTTGGTTTTGTGTTACTTGCCTTTCTAGACCTCCTCATCAGCATTCAACCTTCCCACCTCTAAAGGTTACTGAAGAAGCTTGAAGTAGGTAATGAGTACCCCTCAGCTTCTCATTATCCCTCCCACTTCTCTTTACCCAGGAGATTTCATTCAATGCCTTAGCCAAGGAGTCCAGCACCTGTCTTCCCTGCTAATAATTGTCCTTGGAGATGCTAGTAGTTTAATCCAGGTATAGCAGTTTCCCGTTATTTCTTTGCTTGTCTTGTCCTTGCATTTCCTCCTGACTTCCCAAGGCTCTTGTAGCTTCTGAGGGTCAGCCAAGGAGCAGGCAAGTGAGCGAGTAATCCTCAGGAAAAGAAGGACTATTCTGCTTCTGAACACTGTTCTTTTTTTTTTAGAAGAAAATAGACAAGTAATATTCATTACTTGATGGGAAGATATTTAACTCTCTTTATGAGAGATGTACAAAGATAGAAATGAGAGATGATCCCAGGTGTTCAAGGAAGGCTGCAGATATCATTACAAAACCCCCAAGATAATGGTGTTTTCAAGACCTTCTTGGAACTAGAAAGTTGTTAGGGCTAATTTTAGGAGGGCTCAATCTTCAGAACAATCCTGCAGTCTTGATAGAAATCTAAAATCTCCAAAAACTCCTACCTTTTAACCTTACCCCAGGAGAAACTGATCTATGAAAATTCCATGTGTGATTATGAAAGATGTAGTTGAGTGAGGAGTTGAGGAATTGGGAGGATAGTGAGCTCTCACCCTAACTCTATAAGAAGCATGATCTCAGTAGGCCAATAATTTGCCTTTTTATACATCTGTAAATAAATGGAATGTTTTTAAGAATATAATTATGTCAGATTTAGCTTTTTCTTTTATATATTAAATATATATATCTTTCTTTTTCTGCTTTTGAAAAATGACTATTTTTTTAGAAACCTAAGAACAGAAGAAATTTGGCAAGTGGAAGGAAGAATGTATAAACTTGAAATAAATCAGTTACAATAATTAAAGCAGGACTTGGTGTTGGGAGGTTTGTGCTGAGTTGGAGTAGAGAATTCTAATGCCCTGAGACATATTTGGGAGAAGTGCCACTGAAGGAGATAATAATAGGTACTCCTTACTGTTTTCAAAGTTTCGGACATGCCATTTGGAGGAGGTTTTTGGTGTTCTAATCTTTGCAGCGTGTTTTACATGGAGACTTCGAAATTTTGTACAACTTGATGGCAAGTATTTGGCTTAAGGAGTCATTCTACAGTGAAGAATGGCTAGCCTCATAGTACCAGTGTGTTCAGGGTGTAACATGCCTGTTCCCCTGGTGAATAACAGGACATAAACATAGTCTTAGTGGCTAAGGACAATAGATATTCTTAAAGCAAGCTATATGTTAACTAGTATCACAGTTTACAAAAATTTTTTATTAAAGGAGTCCTTTTAGACATTGAACTACTCTAGAGTCACTAACAGATCAAGTCCAGTTATATAAACTTCATACAAATTACTGTGTGTAATTTTTTCCCTCAGAATTATGGTGAAATACTTAACAGGCCTTTCTGTAACAAGTTGAAAAATGTTTTGAACATGGAAGTAAGGCAGACAATCCATATATTATTTGGAGCAGGGTTTAGTAGTATAGTTTTTTCCCCCTAATTATACTAGTTGAGATATTGAAATGGAATGATATCAGGTGAATTGAGAGGTAAATGCACTTTGAAGATGGGTCTGAAAAATGATGACCCTTATTCCTCACTCCCAGGAGATTAAAAAAAAAATGCACAGAGGCACAGAGTAGGAACATTTTCAAATACTTTTATAACCAAGAATCAGAATAGATTTCTTGCACAGAATTGTTGATTTTTAAGAAAATGTTTGTAAGGGCATCAGTACTTCATGTTATTGTATTATCTCTAATGAAATTTTACATGAACATGAATTGCTGGATGCAGAGAAAATAGACTTACTGCCATTTGGAGGATAAAAAACAGCCAAAAATGTGTTTTTGAAATTAAATTAGAGGGAAATAATTTGATATATACAACTTTTGAACTGAAGCATAATTGTAGTATATTAAATATGACTGAACTGCTCTACAAAGATATGTTAAGTGTTGAGTGATAGTGATGGAGGTATGTATGGAGGGTGAGAAGGCTAAACCATGGGAGGAGTTGGAAATTTTGAGACAAATCTAAACTCTACTAAATTCTATTATTGTAAACTTTGCTGTTAGATTTTGTTAAATAGGAAAGCAGTATTGGAAGCATTGTTTTGAGATCCATCCTGTTTCCAACTGCGAACACTGGTCTCAGCTGTCCCACAGTGCCTTGCATGTAAAGGTGCTCAATAAATATTTGAATTGATGAGCAAATGTTTACTCTAGCCTGTTAGTTTTCTAGGTTCTTATAATTGCACTTATTTGTATGTTAAGTCTAGGGTGAATTTAAAAATCTTATCTAATGAGCATCATGAAAACAGACAATGGTATACACCTTTCCTAGACATCTAGAATTTTAGAATCTGACAACCATGTATACATATTGAGGACATAGACAAGCAGAATAAAAAGTGAAATAGCACATGAACAGTGAAATATGTATGTAAGGGTCAGCTGCATTTTGGAGGGTGGGATAGCAGTTATTTAATTTGGATAAAAGGGAATAATTCTGTTCACATTGGACCTGGGATTATTATTTTCTCATTTTACACCGTATTCCCATATTGGCACTTAAAAGGCTACATGCTGTGTATCCTAGATGGTGAAGGTTGGACTAAATTGTGAAGAATTAAAAATACGTGATTTTGATCCTATACTGGAAGTATCCAGATTCTAGACTTAAGAAATCTCTTGATTACACTGTTGTCAGTTGCTTTTCGCCTAGATCATCTTTGACAATGAAAGCAGGAGCTTGTATTGTCTGCAATTTCAGCTTCAGATGGGAGTAATTTGGGGAACATTTTCTCTAAGAGGATAAACCAAGGTAGCTTTGTACAGGAAATGACCCATGACATTCTGTAAACCCATTTCCTGGCCATGAGTGGTTATGTAAGTGAGAAAGCTACTAGTGGACACAAAAATTATCTGGAGAGAATTAGGGACAACTCTAGTGGGTGGAGATGGCAGTTGCTAGGGAATGCAGCACACAAGTAAGGACACCAGGTGGCACCCTTTATTAACAGTGTTATATTGGTTCCTTCTTCCCCACCCCCCACCCCCCAATGGAGGTAAAATTACAGACTAGCAAGGAGTTGAAGGAACTAACCCCCTATTTCTTACTGTAGCTATTACCAGTTGGTCTTCCCAGGAGGTGACTTCCCTGATCTTCGTGTCAACTTGTTAGCTTTACAGTTCTCATTTTTAATACCTGCTACAATACACACAAGAGTATACCTGTTTTGCCACTTGGCTGTACAAGACCCACTCACAGCAATGGGTTTAGGAGTCCTTCCCTCTTGCTAACAGGTCATCTCCCCCAGGGGTTCCAAGGATCTGTCTGGGTCAGATGAGAGATGTATCAGTGTACTATTTCTCTGGAGCCCAAGTGTTTTGGCATAGGTTAACCTTTTTGTAAGGTAATTTCTCTAAATAGCAATGAGGCAGAAAGGCTCCTAGAAAATAATCTTAGGCTGTAACACGTATGAAATAATATGTAAAGGTATTTCTGTGCACGCTCTGCCATCCCCCACACCCCGCCCATGAGCTAGAAAAACTATACCACGGAATCTCGTGACAGCAAGCTTGGCAGTGATCTCGCCAAAGTAACTGTACTACGGAAAAGGTTTCATGAGTAAATTTTGACAGGAACATGGAAAATATCTGGAGCAACAAAGTCTTGGTTAACTCTGAATGGAACATGGGAGGCTAAGGAATCCATGAAACAGATCCATAGGCACATTGACCTGACACACCCCGCCTACCTTCACGCCTAAGCTCCCTCCCCTTTCTTCCATCACGGCCAATCAGGTTGCCTAGTTCAATACACTTCTCAGCGATCGAAAGAGTTACTCAGGAGAGTCATTTCCACGTAGGTCAACGCGCCGGACAGGCGGCGAGCAGAAACTATTATATCCGTTTTAAATCCCAGCGCTTGGGAACAGACCTTATGGCTGTACCCCAGTCTTGTAATTCTGAGCTAGGAGTTAGTTTCAGCTCTGGTCCCTCGGGTCTATCAAATGCCAACCGTAGCACCCTGGGGGCGTGGTTACCGTTTTGTTGGGGCTCTGGGAAGTGCACTTATCTGGGGGACCGGGCCTGATAACACCATAAAAGGCTTGGTTTTCTCAGTTCTGAAGCCGTGTTCTGCCGACCTTTCTCTAGCAATCATACTCGCGACTGCATTGTGCGGAATCCGTGGTTCGCAAGTCCCTTGCCCTCTACTTCCTAGACCCTTTCATTGGCTCCGCCCCTATAAGCAGTACTCATCCACTCTGGGAACGCCCTCCTGCGTAGAGACCGCTCCCCCTAGCCTCTGCTCCTCCTACCCAGCTCGTAGCTGAGCCCGGGCGGTAGTTCGCGTTTTGAGCCGCTCGTGCCACCATAGCTGTTGCTGCCGCTGCCGCCGCGGAGCTGAAATCGCTGAGCGCGATGCCTGAGGGCGCTGCGAGCCGGGTGGCCCGCGCGGCCCGGGGCTGGTGAGGCTGGGCCCGAGTGGGGGCGCTGGCGAGTAGCAGGGGCTTCTGAGGGAGCGGAAAGTGAAAGGTTTAGGGCTCCTGCGGCTGGCCGAGAGCGAGCTCGGGAGGGTCGTGGGTGGGGGAGGGAGGCTCCCGTGGTAAAACGGGTTGCAGGGCCACAGCGAGCCCCGCCACGCTGAGTGTCCCTGCGGCCGCCAGCGCAGGTGCTCAAGGATCCCGTGGGACTCCTCGGTGGCCTCCTTCTTTGGACACTGCAGATGCCATGAGAACAGTTGGGAATTAACGGGAAGCAGACCGGCCACTAGCCCTTCTAGGGCCCATCCCATCCTTTCAGTTGAACGTCTCTGGCAGGTGTGGCCCTGGCGTTTCTTCGCAGCTCAGGCTTTTTAGCCCCCCTTTACATGAGTCTGTCCTTCAGGCGTTGTAAGAAACCGCACTGGGCTTGAAGGTGGGGATGAGACGAAGGGAGAGGGCAGTACCTAGAGATAAGAGCTGCAGACACGGCTAGGCGGAAGGTAAGGTGTCTTCTGCCATCTCAGGTCAGTGAGAGGGCATACTGGAAGGCCCTGTGGAGTGGGAAAGCAGTGTCGCTGTTGAGACAAGTCCTAAGTTTGCGCCAGGAAGTGTCCCGGGGGGCTCCTCATCATGATGGCTGTGGAAGGGTCAACCATTACCAGCCGGATCAAGAACCTTCTGCGATCCCCATCCATCAAATTACGCAGGAGTAAGGCAGGAAACCGGCGAGAGGACCTCAGCTCCAAGGTGAGTCCTAGTATTGGGAGCCACCCCTTTCCTCCCCTACCCTCCTCTGCTCCGTGTACGTCTTTTACTTTACTCTTTCTTGGGAAGGAGGAGAACTAGAAGCTCACTTTGGCTCTAAAGGACCAAGTGTGCCCATCTCTGCCCCTCAAGAAAGCAATGAGCAAGCAGGTATGAGCATGCTGAGATTCATCTATGAAAAGGGAAGAACATGAGGAAGGCAACCCGGGTTCAGTTGTGGCCTGACTACAAACTAAGTCTGTGCTTGGGGAAGCCAGTTGATATGCTGTGACTCAGTTTTCCTTCTTGGAAGAGGGTAGTGGGACCACATATCCTGTGAAGGGCTAAGCTGCCACTAATGTAGCCGCAAGTGTTAGTGTCACAGCTGGGGTTATGTAAGACAGTGGTAGCAGAAAGAAATATGCTAAAACAGAATCGGCTAGGTAAATGCTCTTCCCTGGTGTCAAAACAAATTTACTTATCTATTCAAGAGACCTGAATTAATTTAACTGGACTTTCTTGGCTTTTTAGGAATGGTAACATGCAAGGGGGCCAAATATCTGCCAGCCAAGCAATTCTGGTTTGCCCTTGAACATTGCTTATCTCATTCACTATATCTCACCCTGCTGCAGAAGTTCCTCAGAGACCAAGTCCCTTTCCATCCCCTCCCATGTCTGGGTGTAGATGTTTATGCTTTCTTGAGCTTTGTAGAGCCCCACAAGTTTGGGAATACAAAAGTAGACTAATTTATTTAATTCCTGAGGGAACCTGGGGCCTTGTTGCCACAGGATCAGATTAGGCTTTTGTGTCTTATAAGCAGCCTGTAAACACAGTAGCCTTGTGTAGTGCAGGATTGCTACAGGGAGAGGCATTTGAGACAGCAGCATTTTGTTGCCTTGCCTGTATCTCTTCAGAGATGAGTAAACCCAATGAGGAATGATTTAGGATGCTAATGTACAGCATGGCAGAGTTCTGGGAGGACTTAACTCAGATCCCTGTCCCTTAGCAAAACCTTACTTGGATTGGGTCAGAAGGTGAACACCTTTGCTGTATATTTCATTCAACAGGAATCAAAATTGGGCACAAGGTTCCATGGCTGTGGAGATAGTGACTTTTCCGAGGGCTCTTATTAATCATTGTTCATAGTCTCCAGAGGTAGGAGAATGAGCCTGAAACATAGACACTGTCTTAGATTTGGCTCCGTTCACTCATTTGTTGTGTTGGATCATTCTTAGTACTGTAAGCTTTCATATTCTTGGCTGGTAACTTGGCAATGACCAGCACTATTAGAGCCATCTTTGTGTCTCTTTGGCCTCTTTTTCTGAACAAGAATGGTATAGGTAGTAGAAATGTATGATGGGAGTTTAGTCTTCAGTATTAATACTTATTGTAATTTTGGTCTGGAATCCGATGGTACGGTTACCATTCTTTAAAATTTACCATGTCGTTCATCATTAATGCATTCTACAAACGTTTATTGTGTGCCTATTATGTGTAGAATCAGCAATGAATAAAACATTATATCCTTGCCATCAAAGAGCTTGTGGCTGTCAGACATGTAAACAAATAATTACAACATGGTGTGGTAAATGCTGTCCTAGAAGTATGTATAAAGGTGTTAATGGCAGCACAGGGGAGGGAAACTAAATCAGCTTAGGGGTATTAGAAAAAAACTTAACAGAGGAACAGATGCTTGAACTGTGAGTCCTGAGGCAAGAGAAGAGGAGAAGCTCTCAAGGAAAACAGTGAAAAAGGAATACTTGGCATCACCATTAAACATCCCTGCTTCAAATAGGGATTCAGTGCTTCAGACTGCTTTAAATGGCTTTGTTTGTCCTAGAGCTGTGAATGAAGGAAATACTTAGCTGAAGTTGAATGACTCTTGAACAGTCTGACAGAGCAAGAGTGCTGGTGCATATCTTTAGCACCCAAAGTAGTAGCTGCCTTTGTGTGCCTTGGACCTTGCAGATGCCTGACTCCCCACACTCCTTACTGAAGACTCTACCTGAGATGATTCTAAAAGCCTGCCTGTGGTAACCAACATTAAGACCTGGTGTACAAGGCTTTGTGAGCTGCTCTAATATGTGGTAGCTGTGGTAACAGAGTTTGTGCTTCATGGATAAATAACTCTGAAACAAAATTTGAAGACCAAAAGACATATGCCTTTTGTGTGGGGTGGGGACAAAGAAGGAAGCGACAGAGGGCCTTTCTGCAGCTCTTAACCTCATATGGCCTGCTGCTTTGAATCGTAACTGTTCCTGCTGTCTAAAGTAGGCTTTTCACCAAATTCTCCACTTATTTTTAGATCCAACTCTATATTTACTGGAGCCACAGGGCCTTCTCTGACTAGCCCTACTACCTTGGAACCAACCTCTAATTGTTCTTTTATGTATGTTGTCATTTCCTAAGGTCAGAGCCATGTTCTTTATTTCCTTTACATCACACTGTGTAGTACAGTGTAAGGAATGCGCTAAATACTAAATGAATGAATGAATGAGAACAATTTAAAGATGTCAAATATAGTGGGGATAAATTTGAGATTCCAGAAGAATAGCAAAAATGATCAGGAGGAGTTTGTGACCTCTTTAGAAGAGAAATCAAAATTAGGAAGAATAAAATGTGAAAAAAAGAAATAGAGATGTAGCCTATTTAGGTGTGAAGGGCATTAGAGAGAAAGGAAAGTAGTGCTCATTAAAGGCTTTTTAATTCAGGAGAGACCTAGTTAAAAATACGGTTAAAATATGGTTAAAAGCCAAAGTGAGAGCCAGTAGAGATGGGGATTTAAGTTATTAGAGAGAGTAGATGAGAGCTGAGGTTTGTATTAAACTTCCTCTAAGGGAGGGAAGGAAGTCTCTGCAGTGTAATAGAATTGGAAAAGAGTAATTTGAGGTTTTATGCCAGATCTGCTGAGTCTTGATGAGGTGTAACTCAAAGTTATCAGTTGTAAACACTCTTCAACTTCAAATCCTATGCAATTGTCAGTTCTTTCTCTCATCTCAGTTGAACTGTGTTTTCTTTAAGAAGCAATGTGTGTGCTCTTGATGGCTAACCCTCCCCCTCTTTTCTTAAAGTTTCTGAAAGATTTTTATGTGGAAGGAGCTGGGTTGTTTTTCATTTTAACAGAGGACAGAAATGGACTGAAGCCAAGCAGGCAAGATTTAAATTAGGGATACAAAAGGATTGCCTGTGCTGGAGGGTTGTTAGGTTTTGAAAAAATGAGTGAGGGAGGTTTTGAAATCTTCTTCCTTATTAATAGCCATTAATACAATCCGAGTTATATATTATCCCTTTGAAAACAATGGACAAGGTGACTGCAACTTTCTCCTAGTTCTCAGTTTTTATGAATATAAGTCTAATTCATATCCTCCCCCCCACCATTTCTTCCCCCAGTGTTTCTCCGGCCTGATTGTGTGGTAGTGCTTTGAGCCTTTTAGTATGTGGCTGTAAGAAGAATTTGTGTTGGTGAGTTTCATAGAGAAGAAAAAAGTGGCAGTAATCTAATTTCAGCTTTGGATTAGTGTTTGAGCCCAGGTATTAGTATTGAGACTCTTTATTATGCCTATTTGGCAGTGAGGAGCCATATTCATTTTTTTTAAATATAAATTTATTTATTTACTTATTTATTTTTGGCTACGTTGGGTCTTCGTTCCTGCACGCGGGCTTTCTCTAGCTGTGGTGAGCCGGGGCTGCTCTTCGGTGCACGGGCTTCTCATCGCGGTGACTTCTCGTGTTGTGGAGCACGGGCTCTAGGCGTGCAGGCTTCAGTAGTTGTGGCTCGCGGGCTCTAGAGCGCAGGCTCAGTAGTCGTGGCGCGTGGGCTTATTTGCTCTGCCGCATGTGGGATCTTCCCGGACCAGGGCTCGAACCTGTGTCCCCTGCATTGGCAGGCAGATTCTTAACCAGTGCGCCACCAGGGAAATCCTTTTTTCAAAGCATTTATGGATCACTGGCTGGCTCTAGCTTGATGGCGCTCAACTTGGGGGAGAGGTCAGGAGGGCAGTAAGACATCAGAATACCTGTGCAACTTTAAAAAAAATACGCATTCCTGGTTCCCATCCTATCTATATGGAATCAGAACCTCCGAGGGTAGAGTTTGTTAGTTGTGTATATATTAAGTTCCACCAGAAGCCCACTGCTGGTTTTAGCCCACCCTGAAATCTGTTGGCTTCATACCCAAGTCCTCATTGAGGCTTCTTGAGAATATATAAAGCTAGCCTAGTAAGTATACTCTTCTCCTTGAGTAGTTTGTTTAATCTCCATTGTATCTTCTGGACTGATTGCTCTGTTAAACTGCTGTATCAGGGATAGATCTGAGAGAAGTGCCCTGTTGTAGGGTAAGATGGAAGGAGCTGGTCATTGCCTTACTTACTATCAGCAGGGATTTTCCTTG